AGGCGGCTTCCACCCTCGACAACAGTCGCAGCTTCTAACGTCCTCTGTCCCCTTCATCTCAGTCGCCTGATGCATTGGAAATTTAAGGCCTCAAGGTGGCAAACGTCACTTCTAGGAACACTTCGTGGCCTAAAACTCAGTCATATGGCCAGATCTAACTACAAGGGCAGCTGGGAAGCTCAGTCCAGCTTTGTGTCCAGGAAGAAGAGGAAATAGATTTTGTTGAATAATTAGTAGTCAGCCACGATTTGCATTAAATAACCCGAGTAAAGGTGAATTTAAATAACTAAAACAGGGGCGCCTGGGTGGCTCAGTCGGTTGGGCATCTGCCTTTGGCTTGGGTCCTGGTCCCGGGATCCTGGGACCAAGCCCAGCATTGGGCTCCCTGCTCGGTGGAGAGTCTGCTTCTCCCTCTGCCCCTCCTCCTGCTTGCGTGCTCTCTCTCAAATAAATAAATAAATAAATAAATAAATAAATAAATAAATAAATAAAAACAGGTGGTCATGAGGAGCCTGCCTGTTGTGTGTGCATGAACAGAATGTTTAGCACTGCATCTCTGGAGAGAAGTGATTTGCCATTTGTAAGGAACTTCTATTCATGTAACAGTTAAGCTATGCTTTAGTAGTTATAAGAACCAAACTTGAAAACAGTTGAATTCCTATAACATTGTTCAGAGTCCTCGCGAGGATATCATTTGCTTTTTCTAGCTGAAAAGCAATCTGAGCTAAGTGACCTGAGATGATGGGGGGCAAGAGGAAAGAGGACAGTACCCCAGGATTAATATGTTTTCTATAAGCAGATCTTTTACGACCTTCCTCTCTGTTCCCAGGAATATGGGCCTCTTTGATGTGTTTGTGGTTTTGACATTTCTTTCACCATCAGCATTTTTTCTCCAAAATTGTCCTTAAAGTGACTGCATCCTTTTATGATCCCTTACTTAGCCTGTGACCACTTTCCTACTCCCAGTAAATTTTTACAACAAATCTCATCCACTTCAGCTTCGTCCTGCATTTGAGCCTGAACATGTGCTCAGAGTGGCAGATGGAAACCCACCAGCAGTAATAAATACATCACTACTCAAGATCTTCTATCACTTGATATCCAGAGATCGATGCAATATAAGATTATTAGATAATAGATTATTCCTATCTTTAGTGTATCCCTCAGGAATAAATTCCTTGTGACTTAAAATCAAATATCTCTACTGGAGAGCCTTCTTCTCAAAGTCTTAAAGTTATTATCAGTTCTGTTTTGTTAAGTATTTCATTGACATGAACAATAATATATTGTTTATTATGGCCTAGGATTTGGAGAGGGAAGCATTTGAAAGGAAATTAAGGATTTCAGACATTAGCTCTGTTTTAGGTTGATCCTAGGTAGATGATGCAGTCTTGTCTGATTGGACTGCTAAGACAAAATACCAGACTGGGTGGTTTATAAACAAAACAGAACATTTATTTTTCAGAGTTCTGGAGGCTAAAAGTCTGAGATCAGGTGCCACCCTCTTCTGAGTTGTACTTTTGCTCTATCCTCACATGGTAGAAGGACTAGGGAGCTCTGTGGGTCCTCCTTAATGAAGACACGAATCCCCATCCTGAGAGTCCAGCCTCATGACCTAGTCACCTCCTATTAGGAGTACCCTCCTCCTAGTACCATCACCTTGGGGATTAGGATTAGAATTTCAATATGTGAATTTGGGGTGGAGGGTGCAAACATTCAGACCATAGGTAGTCTCTTCCTGGTAAGTAGTAGGGAGCCAGAGAGGAGCTAAGGTGGGGGTAATTTGGATCATTAGGAAACCTTCACAGTATCGTTCAATCAGAACACTTTAGTGGATTTTACTCTTGGTCCCCTAGCATCAGAATACTCTGGGTAGAATCCTAAAATAGATAGGAGGCAGGGTCACACATCCCACTGTAGAAACTAAAGAGGGCAGATAATCTTTTTCCCTGACAGCTGGGGCATCTGCAAATGTTCCTGCCAAGGGCTTTGAACCTTGAAGGAGTGACACAAAAATGGAGGCTCCTGAGAGATCACGTGCAGCAATGGTGGGGTACAGTCCACCGTTTAGAGATGACTTCTTTGGTTTGGGGGGGCTTCCTTTTCAGACTGTACTGGACCACTGCCCACCTTCCCCCGTCTCCTGCTCTTTGCCTGGACCTTACTGTGACATTAAGGCTGTTCTGATAGCTTTATCTGAAATTGTTTTCTGCTTGCATTGGTCAAGGAAAATTTGTTGTCTGCAACCAAGAATTCCAGCTAGCATAAACATCCCCCAAATCTGCTATACTTATATTTCCATTAAAACTTTCTTATTGTAAAAATTATCCACTGAAAAACTTAGAAAATATAAACAAAAAACACTGTAACCCCATCACCACAGAGCAACTTTGTAAAAAAATTTTGAAACATTTTCTGGTGCAGGGGCACCTGGGTGGCTCAGTTGGTTAAGCGTCTGCCTTCTACTCAGATCATGATCCCTGATTGAGTCCCCCGTCGGGTTCCCTGCTTATCGGGGAGCCTGCTTCTCCCTCTGCCTGTCACTCCCCCTACTTGTGCTCTCTGACAAATAAATAAATAAAATCTTTTTTTTTTTTTTAAAGAAACATTTTCTGGTGCATAGTCTCTCCAACTTTTTCCTGGGCATATGAATATATTGTTTCTTTAGCTATTATAAAAAGTGCTACCACATTGCGATCAACATGCTTGTTATTTGACTGCTATTCGGCCTCATCTGTAGCATTGCTTCTCCATATGAACATGAACACAGACATGATGAGTTGGTCCAGCCTAGGGAAAAATATTTGTCACACTTACTCAAGTTTCCTTTGAGTAAATATATGTAGAAGTGAAAGCATATAAAATGATTTCAGGTACATCCTTGGGACAGAACTAATCCAGCCGAGGGAAGCCAGTGTTCCTCTCCTGGGTAAAAGTCCTCAAACACCTAACATGGCCCCCTTTGTTTGGTCATGTGCAAACGAAGGCATCATTTTTATATTCAAGTTGCTAGGATTCAGGATTTCCGGAGAAAATTTAGGATATGGGTATACTCTCCCGAGGACCACTATTTCAACTAGAAATTCACTTAAAAATTACTAGTATCTCAGAATGCATGAAATTGATCTCTAATTCAAGAGCTGTAGGATTTTTATTTTAAAATCATTACTTACATGTACAAATCATAACTGCTGCCACAAAGTAAATACTCAGAGGGCAGTTTTGCTATGTATGCTTAAAATTAGAAATACTACTTGCAAACAGTAAATATATTAAAAGTTCTTAGAAAGTCTGTTCTCTACCTTATATCTTAATAGACTTCTGTACCTTTTTTTCAGAGGCAAACTTCAACAGCAGGTAGATTTAAAAAATGAGTAGGTTCTAAATTAATTGCATTTCAGTTTTTTCAACCTAGCTTGCCTTTATCCACAGTCTTGTTCTAATGGCTCCTCATTCCAATATTTGCCTTTAAGGCATCTGTTTTCTTCCTTTATAATCATATTTTAATTCTAGAAATAGGCGCTTCTAGCTCTGGTTTTCTTCTTGGTGAATGGTAATCAAACTTTCTCTTATTGCTACCCCAAAATTATCTTTAATATATTTAAGAATTGGATTAAAAAAATCTCCAGTGATTTTCAAACTAGTGTGCAGGTGATAGTTGTTTTTCCCTTTTCAAAATAAACCATCTTTAAGGTGGTTTTAAGATTTTTACTATTAGTTTTAAAAATCACATAAAATGATTGCTTTCGTGTAACAGTGCTTTTTCTCCATGTGCAATGCATTGAAAAGGTAACTTCAATAATTAAAAAAAATAAAACCACTCACTGCTTTATTAAGCAAATGAATTAACAGTTAACTTTTTAGATCCTGGACCTCAACATTCCTTTGCTATTCAAATCAAAATGCAGTAGTCTTCACATTTGTTACCATGGATTTCAAAAGAATAATCTACATTTCTAAAGCTATTTATATAGAAAGACAAAAGAGAACATAATTAAGCTGGAGTCTTTCCATAGCATTGTCTTTTGGGGTCCAGGCAGCAGAAGCATGATGTAGGTGAAAAAGTACTATGGCCAGGTTCCAATGTATGTGATTCAAGCTGAAGAACAAAAACTTGAACTGTGAATACATTAGCTCAGCTCAAAAAGTGAATGCTAACTAGAGGGTCTCCATCTTTGGCGATCAAACAAGGGCAAAGAGCTTAAATGGTAGCAGGATCACTGCGGGTTATTTATAAAACAGTACTTTGCAACACATATCAGGAAGCTAAGACACCCATTGCTCATACCTCTTGGAGAACAAAATAGGATGCTCATTTGTTTGGAATGGTTCTTGAAGGGAAATATTCTGGAAGGCAGGAAGAGAACTTTCCTTACTTGAAGGCCATCTTTCTCCCTATGGGCTCAAGCCTGTGAACTCTATCTCATTTATTCTTCTCAGTGTGAATCCAGTCCAGCTCTAGAAGTTACAGACTGCAAATACTTTTATAACCTAACTCCCATTATCAAATGGGCTTCTTTTCTTACTCTATCTTCTGATACTCAGAACCATTCAGAGCATTTATTTACTACTATAATATGCAATGAAATGGAATTTAAGAAACAACTCTGCAAAACAAGGAATATAAGAGCAGTTTGGTCTTTTTTTTTTTTTTTTAAACATTTGGTCCAGTAGCATGGGGCAAAGCTTTAGCTGAGTTAAATTCCCACTTCCTTTTGATAAGAAAAAGTCTAAATCAATAAACATTTAACTACAAACAAATCTATTTGTAAAAGTAAGAGGAAATCTGTTCTTTTAAAGCATTTTGGAAAGATGGAAAGTATTCAGTTGGTTATATATACTTTTTGGGTATTTCAACTTCTGTAAGATTGGAATCTAATGAAGCCTTCTTTCAATTTTCTAACACCATATACAAAATCTGTTATCAAAATGTATAAAAGACGCTTCTAAAAACAACTGTTAAGTTTAATGTTTTTGACTTAGTGATCAAGCCATCATTTTTTCAATTCCAACTTTAATTTGTTCCTGTACACTCTCTTTAACGGGGCTTTGGGCTTTCAAGTCATCCTCTTCAATCTTTGTATGATAAGGTGAGCTACTTGCTTCTGTTTAGCAGAGCTGGATCAGGAACATCTCTGCATTTGATTGGCTGGCTTTTAAAGGATTACTCCTGGAAAGCCACTGTTCGGTATCACATTGCTAGCAGTGTGGACTTAATTGTGGTTAAAAATTCAAATTGAAGACGAGTATTTACCATCAAAGAGAATGTAAACTTCAGTACTCCGTTGTTACATAGCTTCTATACATCATATTGACTTAATGTGTGTGTGATGAAGAGCTCTATTTCAAAACAAACTTAAATACTATATCCAGAAATAACAACTGACTCTGGCAAAAAGAGGTAATTTGGGGTCCCTGTATGTTCTTTAACAAAGCCAATACAATTTAAAAATAAATGAATTCCAACTACACAAATTGAGTTCAGTAAGATGAACAAAACTGAGGAAGACAAATGTCAGCTAAGTCAAGTCAAATAGATTATACTACTTAAACCCAGATGAAATAAAACAATGACTTTCCATTTTTATTTTGCCTTTCCCAGTTACTCAGAATAAACATTATCACTTTTCAAATTCCACCGATCGTTTTATCTGAAAGAAAAATTCACTGAGTAAAATGCTTAGCTGTAGGATTTTATACTTACAATCCATCAGGTTACAATAAAGTTACTACAGTTTCTTCCCCAGTGTGAGCATTCTGTATGTGCGTTTTATTTATTCTGTCACCTTCTATTTCCTTCTAAACTTTATATGCTCAAGAAAGAAACTGTATTGATGTTATGTAATAATACTTCAAATTTGCAACATACATACTGGTTTCTCTCTCCCTTGAACCCATGTGCCTGAAAAGTAAACACACTGTATCCCCCCAAAACACCACCTTGGAGTGTATAAGGACCAGTATAGATCTGTATAAGTATAAGCACTGAAAAACAGTTGTGTGGAAGGGTAAAGATGTATCTGTCCTTGTTGACAACAATCCCCACGATTTATTAGCCACAGGCAGCCAACTTAGTAAATGACAAGGTCCAAGGCCTGGCCATAAGAAGTGGGTAACCCAGTGGAAGTGAAGGCTTTTAGGTCTTACAACTAATGTGATTCAAAAGAAAAAAAAAAACCAACACCAACACCACCAACAACAAAAAAGCAAGCAAACCGTAAAACCTGGAGAAAGTCCTTCAAATAGAGCCTCTCTGGCAACTCAAATTGAACCAAATGATTCAGGTGGACGATTAGAATAAACTGTGCGCCGTTTTCTTTCACTAGGTCTACAAAGCCCATAAATTATGTTTGGTCCAGAACACCAGGAGTTATTAGCACCTTTCTTTTTCACTTTTTAATATTCGGTATATTCAGCAACAATCCTTAATCCATGGTCTTCATTCATTTATTGACTGAACAAGATCCTGGGTGCCTCCTGGTGATCGCTCCTTCCAGGCTGACCTTATATGACAGCAAACTGAAATGCCCCTCCGTGGAGAGGGTCAAGACCGCGAGGAAAGTCATCCAAAGGTGGACGCATCTTGCTTTCATTTACTTGTTTATTAGAGGGGCGGCGATGGCCGCGGCTGGACGAGGACGAGGCGAAGGGGCGCGCGGGCCATGAGCCGCAGCCCCGGGGTGGGTACCCGCGGAGGAAGAGGAAGGCAGCAGCCATGCTCTACCAGCTCGGCCCGCCGGACCCAGAAAAATGACCAGCCCCTCCCCCACTGCACTCTTGACCCCTCCCCCTCTTTCCAGGCCTTTCATCCGCCCGCCCGCTCGTCCGCCGGGCAGCCCCGGGGCCCCCAGACCTCGCACCGCCCGCCTCTTTCGCCAACCCGGTCCAGCGACGCGGGCAGGCCCGGGGTGGCCCTGCGAAGCCCTCGGCCGGGCGAGGACCCCGACCCCGACCCCTCCGACCGCGCCCCTCCCCCTCGAGTAACGCACCTGCGGCCCCGCCCCCGGCCAAACGCTGAGGCGGCGGCGGGCTGGCGAGGCCGAGCGGCTCGGCCCTCCAGGCGCAGTCACCTTCCCTTCCCCCGCCATTCTGCCCACCCCCCTAGCTCAGCCACCAAGCAGCCGTCGCGATCCTCAGCCGCCCCGAAATCTAAAGGGGTCCGTCTCCGGCACCACAACCAAATGGCTGAGCCTCCCTGGCCGGCTTCGCAGCCCGCCCATTGGTCCCTTCCCCCCCCCGCCGCCGCCACCATTGGCTGTTGCCCGGACACCCTCGGCAGCGATTGGCTCCAGCTGTTGCCGCTCATCCGCCGAACCTCAGGTCCCGCCTCCACCGTGATCAGGTTAGTGTGCGCCGCGGGTGCTGGGGGCTCGAGAACCGAGCGGAGCTGGTTGAGCCTTCAAAGTCCTAAAACGCGCGGCCGTGGGTTCGGGGTTTATTGATTGAATTCCGCCGGCGCGGGAGCCTCTGCAGAGAGAGAGCGCGAGAGATGGACATGGACAAACGGATTCATTTAGAGCTGCGGAACAGGACGCCCTCTGATGTGAGCATTTGCCAAAAATATCTCTGTCGGTCCATTCTCCTACTTTGTGTGTGTGTGTGCGTTGGGGGGAGGCACTTTTTTTTGAGGGGGGGCGCCCGGGAGGTGTGGGTTTGGGGGTCGGACTGCAAATGAATTGCAAGGTTGGGGGGTTGCAATGCCATCCGAGCATGTTCCGGCTGCCGCCGCCGCTGCCCTTGGTGTGTGACTACCTGTGCGTGTGCTCCCGCGTGTGCGAGTGTGGGTGCGAGAGTGTGCGTGCGAGTGTGCACCCACCGGGGGCCAGCGGGCGCACGCGTTTGGGTCGGAGAGAATGAGGCAAAATAACCCTCTGAGCTCGCTGCTCCCTTGACTCCGTCTGGGGGGAAGATTAACGAGGGAGGAGGAGGAGGGGGGCTGCCTCCTGGATTTAACAACAAAAAAAGGGGGTTTTATATTTTATAAATGAATCCCCCCTTCCGCCCCCCTCCCGCGCCTTCCCCCTCCCTTTCTCTCTCTCTCTCTCTCTCGCTCGCACACACACAATAAGTTTTGGGCTTCGCGAGTCCGGTTTAGTTTCTGATAAATGTGGGCCGAGGCCCCCGGGGAGAGCGCGTGGGGAGGGGGCTGCAGTGGAGTTGGGAATGGCTCGAGTTTAAAGTGCGTCTTCATTTCTTTGCAGTGATGAGGCGAGAGACGGGGGAGCCATATTTGTAACTTTGTAGTGTTCGTGAACGCGCCCTTTCTCTCCCTCCCTCCCTTTCTCTTCCTCCCTTCCTCTCCTCCTCTTTCTCCCTCACTCTTTCCACCCCACCTTCGGGCCAGATGCTGATGTTTCTTCCTTTCCTTCCGAAGGGAGGATAAATTGGAAGGGGGGAGGGATTTTCGAACGTGCAAAGGCACAGATAATCCCCGCGCCTCCCCACCTCGAGCGATCGCTATTGCAAGTTACCCGAAGGCTACGTCCCGGTCCCCCCTCGCCCCTGTTCCTTCCGGCCTCGCTAAGATGCCAGCCTTTGAGCCGTCGCGCCCCCCGGCCGGTCTTTCTCCGGGGTGGGCTCCTCGGCAGCCATTCGGCGCCTGGTTAATACACGGGCACGGGAAACTTTGTCAGGACGGAGCTGGCCAGACCTGGTGCCCGTGGTGGGTATTGGCTGGGTCCAGATTTATGCGGGCATAGGAAACACGCAGCTCCGGGATGGGAGTTTGCTTTCTGGTCGCCGTTATTGATTGGGCAGCGGCGGGAGTACGGCCGGAGGAAACTTACACGGATGGGAACTGGGAGGCTCGGGCGAAAGCCCTCCCCCAAGGAGGGGGAAGGTGAGGGTGGGTTGCTCGAACGCTCGTTTGTATTTCTGTCTCCCTCTCGCTTTCAAACAGTGTTTTATGTGAGTTGGCTGGTCAGCGGAGGAGACCCCAGCTCTGGGGCGGAGACCCTGGCCGGCTCCTCTCCCGGCTCCTCCGGAGACCAGGGCGGCGCGGGCGGGAGGACCCTTCCTCCAGCCTCGGTGGCCAGGGTTCCACAGAGTTGGGAGTTTGGGGAGCACTCTGCGCTGACCTGTCGCCCCTTCAGCCCGTTAAAACCCGAATCCCTGGCGAAGGCAGGCCTTGCTTCCTCTTTTTCTCTAGTTCCTCCCCCAAACCTGAGTGAGACTTTTGAAAACAAGATCCTTTTTGTGCCCCCCCCATCATAACGCAGCTGTGGACTGTAGACGTGCAGTGCCTTATGGCGCGCAGGGCGGGGAGGGGGTGGCGGAGGGAGGGGAGGGGGTGCCCGCCGAGAAGGCAGGAGTTTCCGCGAACAATCTGCCGGCGGTTTGTCTTTCTCTGGCCGGTTTCATCCCGGCTTAGACCCCGAGCCGGAGGATTTGGGGGCTGGGTGTGGTGATGGGGGAGGGGGCCGGAGCCGCGGTCTTCCCGCGTACTTTCCGGAAGCCCCCCGTGCGGAGGGGGAAGGGCGCACTGTAGGGGGCCGGGGTCGTGGCGGGTGGGTGTGGAGGCGCGGTTCGCCCGGCCAACCCCAGCCACACGGCTGGCCAACTGGGAGCGAGATCGAAAGCGGGTCGAACCGGCTCTTTAAACTTCCCCGAGTATGTGCTGGGGGAGGGGAGCGCGCCGCGCCGAACTGGGAGCGATTTCTCACGCTTCGCCCCCTCGCCTCCGAGTCTCCCAGCCCACTCGCCTGCCCCCTGCCTCGAGGCGGAGTGGGGCGCGGGAGGGGATGGAGGGGGCACTTTCGGCACATTTGGGGAGGAGGGGGAGAGAGAAAGCTAGCTAATGAGGGACAAAAGGGGTGGGGGAGGAGGAACTATTTTTTTTTAACCGTTCTTAAGACAAATAGCTCTCGGAGAGCGCCCCCTGCGCCCCTCCCCGCCGCGCTCCCCCCCGGGGCCCCCTCACACCCACCTTCGGAGCCTCTCCCAACTCGGATCCGGGGGCTGGTGGCCACGCCGCGACGCCGAAATAGGACGAGCAGCCATGTTTCCCGGGTCTCGCGCGGCCCGCCCCGCCCCTCCCCCATGGCGCGGCCGGCGCCGAGCGCGGGGCTGCGAGTGCGGGCGCCGGGCTCCATGCGGCGCGGGGCGCGGGCCGGCGGGCGGGCGTGCTGGCGCCGGGGCGGCCGGGCCTCGTGCGCGCTGGGCGGGCGCGGGCGCGCCGGGCCGGCCCCTGGCGGGCCTTCTGGCTTCCCAGCTGCTTCGGAGCTCGAGGTGTTTTGTTATTATTATTTTCGTGAAGGCCAGGCCCGCCGGAGGCCGAGCCCGAAGGGCGCCGAGGCGTTATTGGGGGGCAGGGGCGGCCGCCGGGGCCCTGCTCGCCTGTGGCACGACTGCCGGGCGCCGGGCTGCCATTTTGTCACCGTGGCTGTTGTCGCTGTGGGGTGGGGGTGCAGAGTCTTGCGCCATCGCCCCGACGGCCCCGGACGTGGAGGCAGCAGGGGAGGCCGGCTCCGGGGACCCCGGGTTGTGCTCTGGGCCCCGAGGGGGGTTCCCTCCCCGCGACAACGGCCTGAGGTTCTGCTGGAGCGTCGCGGCGGCGGTCGCCCTGGGAGGGCGGCGATCCTCCCAGCAAGTGCTCCCCCCCCCCCATCGCGCTCCCTATCTCCCCCGCCCCTCTTCTCGCCAGTGTTTCGCCCTTCCTCCCGCTGGCGTTTTAGACGTAGTTAAATGTGGCCCTGAAGACGTACTGGTCGCCCCGGAGTTTGCTCTTTCGGAGGAACCGATAGGAGGGTTGGGGGAGAAATTAAACATGAGGGTTTTTTTTCGGGAGGGGGGCGCGCGCGCGACTCTAGCGGCCCTGACCGGAGCCAAGGACGGCAGCCGCTTACCCGGGAGGGACGAGTTGTCGATGTGTTGGGGAAACGCCCTCCGGGGCTGGGCGCTCCGGGAAGGTAGGTCGCGCTCGGGGTTTCAGGTGGGTGTTGCAGCGCCCTGCAGTCTGCTAGGGGAGCCCCCTCCCCCCATCTTCCCTGCCCCTCCCCCTTTTATTTTTTGCCTTGGGGAAGGCAGTTTACGGTAGTAAACGTCACCCTAAACCGAAAAGAGAAGGGAATAAGGCTTGCTTTTTTAAAAAGTGAGTGGTGTCTTTCTGCCGACCGCCTTTCTGCGTCACGTCTCTGGCTTCTCTCCGGGACTTTTTAAAAAGCCAATGTCAGTGCTGGTTAAGCACCTCACTGGTTAAAGTCTGGTGTCTGCATGAGACTGGCTTTGATGGCAGTGCCCGGCAAAGGCTACCCAGGAAGCCAGGTTTTAACTTTGACCTTTGGAATACGTCGCATGATGTTTTCCAGGCTGACTTACTGCCTAATTGGGTTCATGTAGCCCGATACTAACTCCAGTTTATTCAAGCCAACCAAGGATCCCCAGGCAGAAAACTGAGCTCCGGCTCGGTTTGGTCATGGTCGGTTATGTTTTGTTAATGGATTGCTGCTGCTGTTAGTTTCGAGTCTGGGGGCTCCATCGTGAAGCTGGGTTTTGGAGCCCCCACGGACCTGAGTTTGAATTCTAACTGCTACAAAGAGGTACGATAAGTTAACCTCCTCTTTGAACTTTAGTTTCCTCACCTGTAAAAGGGGGGTGGTGATCTGGTTTAATGAGTAAGTGACAAAAGTGGCTCTATCTGGACCTGGCCCTCAGGTGCTCAGTCTGTGATAGTGTTGCTGGAGAGATAACTGTGGTACCATGAGGCACAACTTTGAGCTTCTCTCTGGTTCTGGACAACAACAACAACAATAATAGTGAATGCTCACACGGCCCCACCCTGTGCCTGGCACAGTTCTAAGTGGATTAGACAGATGAATTAATCTAGTCCCCACAGCAGCACTGTGAGGTAGGTACTACTGTTATTCTCGTATTACACACAGGGAAATTGAGGCATAGAGAACTTATCACAGCCAGTCGGCATACTCGGCTTCTTAGTCTCTGTTCTCTCCCCTGAAGCACCCTTTTTTGTCAGACACCGAGGGGAAGAGCTTTTTCTTCTCTGGCTTTAAAACAGTGCCACCTTATGAGGGCTTGAGTTTCCTGTCATTGAAGGTACGAACCCGGGATGGCCTCCTGGTGGATGGTCAGGACCAGGGGCTCTGATACAGGGGAAACCATACACTTTCTGAGTTTGGTTTAGAACATCACATCTGTTTAGGCTGAAATAAGTCTGTCCTTTTAGGTGTTGGAGTATACATTTTGGGTAATGAGAAGACTCTTAGGCAGTGGTTTGTATGGGATTTTGCATGTAATGCATTTTCCATTTTTGTCACCATCTACAGTGAAAACTGAGGAAAATTGGCATGGCCTCGGTACCTAAGATGTAGTATACTGATAACAACTCAGGGATCACCTCCCTTAATTCTCCTTAACTCGTCAGGGTTAAGCAAAGCAGTGTGACATCCTCCATGTTGCGAGGGTGGTCACTTTATACAACGGAGTTGAGTTCTCGTCCCACTGTTAAGCCAGGGGCCCCTTTAGTTGGACAGTAGGGACTCTGAGAGTTGTATAGTCCATCAGGTCCCAAACGTGGCCCCTCATCAGAATCATCTGGGGAGCATGTAAATGCAGATTCCACAAGGGTCGTGAAATTCATTTCAGGGTGAGCTGCGTGTTTCGGTATCATGAGCTAAGAATAATCTGGACACAGAAACGTTGCAATCAATGTGATGATGTGGAACATTTAACTTTGAATCTCCATTAAGTGAAATGTTATCCCCCCAAAAGAATTCCACTTGTCTCGTTAGATGGTTAATAACCCTTCCACCCCCCAAAATGTATTCATTATAGATCTTGAATTTTGTCAATAAAAGAATTGTGGAAATCTGTTTTCTGTCATTATAAAAGTGCCTGTGTAGTATTGTTAGTTTTGTCTCTAGATAAAGTTTATTGTCTGGCCTCTTACAGAGAAAGCTTGGCGATCCTTGTTTGGGGGGCAGTGGGATTGGAATCTGGGTTTTGTTTTGTTTTGTTTTTTATTTTTTATTAAACATATGGCAAGCCATTCATTTGGGTGGTGCTTTAGGAGTCTTTCCAAGTTTTTTTGTGTGTGCCCTTTAACTAGTTGATGCCTAGTGGAAATTGACCTCGTTACCAGTTTAAGAATTGAGTGTCCCTTCCATCTAGAAGTTCTTCTGTATAACCAACTAAAATTTCTCAGCTTTCATAGTCCGGAGTTTTTCAAAAGGTTTTTGCATATCTTGTAGTTAAATAGTTACTCTTAACATTTCAGATGTCTTAGGGCTTTGGGGCCTGCAGAAGGTGCAGCAGCTGTGTCCTCCATGGCTGACATCAGACCCTCAGAACACAGATCATTGAAAGCCACAGATAATCCTGCAATCTCTGGTTCTGCCCTGCTGCTCTCCCACCATGCACGTTTCCTGGGGAACATACCAGCAACAAAGTGGCTTTGAGTTTCAGCTTCTTTCTACCTCTAGCCTTTTGTGCTTGAGCTAATGAGCAGAGGGAATAGAAATAAGATTGGCCAGACCAAGGGGAGGAGGAGATAAATTCAAGGGGAAGAATCCCAGTTCCCATAAGTTCAGCATGTACTTTAAGGACAGCAGGCCAAAGACCCAGTTCCCTGTCTTGGCCGCTTGTGCATCCCCAGCCTTTCAAGGTGACTTTCTCTAGACTTAACACAGTCCTTCTTATTTGTAATACAGGCACCTACCTTAGCTTTGGGGGCTGATCATCCCAGAGCTTCAGTCCAAATTAATGATACCACATTGAAATAAGAAACTTGGGGCTGTGGGTGACCCTTTATGGGTATTGTATATGGGATACTCCACAGACCTGCCCCACTACCTTGGTGTAGTCGCTTGGGAGAGGAGCTCAGAGCTTGTTGCTGAGTGGTGATGAACCCTGGTCGAATGAACTTGGCCCAGTTGTTTGGCCTGAATTCTGACATGAAGAGGAGGCTCATTACTCTGGTGACCAGAGGGGGCCACTCCCTTCCAGATGGGTGCTACCATACCTCCCCACCCGGTTTTGACCTGCCCACCCCCTGCTCTCGCTAGTCATCTAGTCTCCCAGGAGATCTACACCGTCAGTCCCCCATCACCACTACATTCTTCCCACAAATACAGGGAAACAGGGACCTGACTTTGAATCTTATACTCTTACGTTACATTGAAATACAATTGTACAAATGATAAATACCCAACAATGGTGTTTTCATTAAAGAGATGGAGTCTGGCAGGGATGGAAAATTGTGAAGGCATCTGTTATTCAGAACTTGTCATTTAATAAAATTTGTTGAAACAAGATGAGCAAAGCACCCATGGCCCTCGGCCACCTGCCCGGACATGGAAACAGCCTCCTTATATAGAATCAGTTGTCCTGATGATATTTGTTAATACAAAGTCTGTAAACAAGAAAAAATATCTTTGTTCTGCCACACCAGGCCCTGTCTTGTGCCCACTGGGCCACACCCTGCAACCCCTATGTTTCCACTCAGATTTATTTTGTTTTAGCCCCCCGGCTGCCCTGGTATGCTCATCTGTCTTCTTTACCAGAACTTACTCTAGGCAGCAGATCTAAAAGATCAGCTTACTTACTCCACTATCACTTACCCTAATGTGGATTAAAGTCAAGGCTGTCTTTCCCAAAGATGTTTGTGTTTGGAGATTCTGGTTTGGTGAGGAAGTTAGCAGAGGACTGTTAGAGACTTGTGTGCTGTTCTCAGTTTTGCTACTAACTAACTTGGACAAGCTGCTGGGTTTCTCGGGGCCTCTGTTTCCTCTGCTCTAAAATGGGAGTATTGAATTAGATTGGTAGCTTTCAAAACTTCCTGATCCTAACATAAAAATGTTTCACACCACTGCCCAGTGTGTACATACTTCACAGGTTACACAAAACAGTGACAAGGTGCTTCCTTACTCCATGGAAAACACTTCTGTTCGTTAAGAAAAAAAAGAAAAATAGTGTATTGGCTTTGACCCACAAATTGATCACATTGCTTGTGATTATCTGAGAGACATTAAAAGATGAATATTAAGATCCCTTCACACTCAGACATCTTGTGGTTTGATTTGGGAGAATGAGAGAATGCCGTTGGTAGCTCTGTGAA